CTCCTCCTCCTCCTCCTCCTCCTCCTCCTCCTCCTCCTCCTCCTCCTCCTCCTCCTCCTCCTCCTCCTCCTCCTTCTCCTCCTCCTCCTTCCCGAGCCGTGTTTCGACGCTCCCGAGGCCCGGCAGGGGCCCCGAGGGGGCTATTTCAAACAGCGAAAGACCTCCCGCTGCGATTCTTGTTACTACTCGAGGGGATCTGGGCACGGTGCGCGGCCGCGGGCTTCTGGGCCGCGCCGGCCCCGGGGCAGCGCTGCCGTGGCAGCCACGCGGTGCCCACGTCCACGCCGCCTCTGGCGAGGCGGCCAGAGCTGCGCGCCGGGCGCCCCTCAAAAAGCCCCGGCGGGCACGGCGCGGAGGGAAGGCAGGGAAGGGGGGAGGGAGGAAGGGAGGGAGGGAGGGAGGGGGGAGGGGAGGAGGAGGAGGAGAGGAGGAGGAGGAGGTAGGAGGAGGTGAGGAGGGAGGAGGAGGAGGAGGAGGAGGAGGAGGAGGAGGGAGAGGAGGGAGGAGGAAGGAGGGCGAGGAGGGTGGAGGAGGAGGAAGAGGAGGAGGAGGAGGGGGAGGAGGAGGAGGAGGAGGAGGAGGAGGAGAAGGAGGAGGAGGAGGAGGAGAAGGGAGGAGGAGGGAGGAGGAGGAGGAGGAGGAGGAGGAGGAATCAGGCCCGTCCTGGGCCCAGGGATTTACGTTTCGGTTCCGGCCTGGGCCAGGCCTCCCCCCGCTCCTCCGCTGGCTTCTCCATACCTTCCCTTCCCCTCCCCTCCCCCCCTCCTCTCCCAACACCTCCCCCCCTATCCTCCTCCTCTCCCTTCCCCTCCCATCCCCTCTCTCTTCCCGTCCACTCCCCTCATCTCCCCCCTCCTTCCCAGCACTTCTCCCTTCCCCTCCCCCTCACATCGCCTCCCCTCCCCTCCCCCCCCCTCCCTGGAACCTCTCGAAGGCGAGGGCATGCACGGCGACCCCCAGGCCCCCGCCACGACCTGGCGGTGATGTGAAGAGGCCGCCCCCCCCCCTCCTGAGGACTGGGGCGCGTGCGACGGCAAGCACGGGCAGCGGGTCAGGCGGTGGCACGCCGACCACACCCGCCCACCCGCCACCCCACACCACCCTGCCCCTGCTCGTTCCTCCCGCCTTCTTGTTTGCGTGTTTGTCCTGGTGCGCAGCACCATCAGCATCATCAGCATCATCGTCATCGGCATCATCATCAGCATCAGCATCAGCATCAGCATCAGCATCAGCATCAGCATCATCATCATCATCATCATCATCATCATCATCATCATCATCATCATCATCAGTATCGTCGTCGTCGTCGTCATCATCAGCATCATCGTCGTCATCATCAGCATTATCATCAACAACATCATCGACATTATCATCAGCAGCAGCATCGTCAGCATCATCCTCATCAGCATCATCAGCAGCATCATCTTCAGCATCACCATCATCAGCATCATCAGCAGCAGCAGCATCATCACCACCATCATCATGATTATCATTATCCTATCCGCCTCCTCCTCTTCCTCCTCCTCCTCCCTTGCCCTCCCCTTCCCACTCTTTTCGTCTCCCCATCTCCCGTCTTTCTCTCTCGTTCCCTCCACGCCCCCACCCCCATCGCCATTCGCTGCCCCTCTCCCTCCACATTCCTACCCCCTCTCCTCATCCTCCTCCTCCTCCTCCTTCTCCTTCTCCTTCTCCTTCTCTCCAAATCCACCAAGACAGGGCACTAGAAAAGGCAAGGCCACAGAAAGGATTGCTTCCAGGCCGCATGGGCCAAGCGGCTGCTGAGTTGGAGGCCGCCTCCAGCTGGATCCGCCGTTACCCAAGACGGCGGTTGCCTTGACTCTTGGAGCTCTCGAAGGGGAGTTGTTTATGCCACGGACTGTGTCTCCTCCTCCCTGCCTCCTCATCATCATCACCATCATTATCAGCAGCAGCATCATCATCTCCTCTGTCAGATTGGTGCTCATCCTCGCCATCATTATTCCCCTTCCCCTCATTTATCCACCCCCTGCTCTTCCATCCCCCTCCCACTCCCCTCGAAGCCACCTCCACTATCCGACACTAGCCCAGGCGGCGGCACATTGTGCAGCCCAAGCTGGGGCTCGGGCTCGACTGCGAGGGAACCACCAGCGAGGTGGGCGCCTGCGAGCGCAAGTGCCAGGACCGGCGGTACCTCTGCAGCTGGGCCGACTGGTCCTCAGAGGATGCTCCGAATCTCATGATGGGAGGCGGGGGTCTGGTTCACGGGTGGTCCGACTTCGGGCCGTCTTGCACGGCTTCGGAGGGGCGTCTGAGGTGCGGACCCAGAAGGCATTCCAGCGGGAGGAGATATGAAGGAGCTCGTTTTGGAGCGTTCGGGCCCAAACCCCCCTCAGCTGCAAAAGTTGGAGTTGACATTTTCTTCGTCGACGGAAGGTCGGCGCAAGCAAAACGGCGCGGGTCTGCAGAAGGCTGGCTGAAGGGCACGGACCGGGGGGGTCTGGAAGCGGGAATCGTGTTTGTTCCCCTTGCGAGGTCCGCCTGGGGGAGCTGCTCCACCTCTTGCGGCCCAGAGGGCCGCCTGACCCGCCGGCGCTCGCTGAAGGCCTAGGGGAAGCACGCGCCAGAGCAATCATCAATGCGTCGTGTAGGCGGTGTGTAGTCATGGTGTTCTCTCAGGGGGCGTCGCCAGAATTTGCGCGTGCACACTTCTTGCCAGCGGAATAGTGGAGGCCACCTAGCTGGGGATCACCGTTTACTATCGCGTGATGCGATGAACTGCCACACGCGAGCATGTTCGACATAATAACTCAGGTTGGCGTGCTTTGCCCGCCCAATAATGCAACCATGCGCGTGCGTGTGTGTGCCACTGGAGTGAGTCAGGGCTGTTGCGCACGCTTTCGCCTCATGGCGTCCCTGTGGGAATGGTTATCCCTGGCCGATCTTGTCGTCTCTGCCTCTCTCTCTCTCTCTCCCTCTGTTTCTCTCTCTCTCTCTCTATGTCTCTCATTTTCTCTCTCTCTTTCTCTCTTTCTTACCTCGCACATTTCCTCTCCTGCTAGTTGGCGTGCGGTCCTCAGCACAGTTTATTGTCAGTGATCCGAGATGCCCCTCCTGTCGTCACTGCATCGGCGGCGCAACGTTGGAGCATTACCCTGCCTAGTCGTTTCGAAAGGGACACGCCTACTGCAGGCAGACATTCTCCCCCTTCGTCTCCCTCGCCCCCACCCCCGCTGCGCCGATGCGCTCTTGTGATGCGTATTCCTATCGCCTCGCTCCTTTGAGAGGCCTTTGCGCGCCGCCCTGGCGCTCCGCTATCCAGGCTCTGGGCTCCACAGGTTCCTGTCGCTTCGCTCTTCTGATACCCGCGCTGGCCACGCTGACGTGTGTGACGCTCGTCTCTGGCGGCGCTCTCCCCCTCTTCCGCCTCGCCCCCCTCTCTTCAGACTGACCGCTGGGAACGTGACGCGACGCACCCGATGCAGTGGTGATCGTTTTCTTGTTCATTGTTTTGCCGATCGGCGCGGGCCCTCGCGCCCCCCCTTCCCCATCCCCCCCATGGAGTGGATCTTGGCTGTTTGGGGCGCCTGTTTCACGCCGGTGGAGGCTCCACCATGGGGCGCACTGGTGCAGACAGTCGCATTAAGCAGAGGTCCGGAGCAAGACCCCCCCCACTTCCGCCCAATGTCGAAACGCCGAATAATAAAACGCTCACGTGCCAGATTGCTCAGAAGTGTGCTGATCTGGGGTGTTGGTCGTGATCGGCTGTCGGACTGAGGGGTTTCCACTCGCGCGACTTTCACGTCGCACGCGGGTTGGCTAGTCCGTATCTGTTGTTTCAATGTGTCCCACTGTTTCGATGACCGAGCCCTTGCGGGCAAGGGAAGGCAGCACTGCTTGCAGCACCCTGGCATGATTCCACCTGGAACCTGAGGCTGCAGCACCACTCTTCAAGGACTGCATCTTCTGATGGTGCAGCCTTCTTTTTCCCCCTCTCCGCCACGGCTCCTCTTCCCTCTCACCGGGCTTCCTGTGCACTATTTGCTTCGTTGTGGCCCAGCGCTAGTTGCGACCGACTCGCGCGTCCGCCAAGTCCGAGGCAAGAAGGTGTCCTACTATTTCGCTTCTCCTTCCAGGCGGGGGGGCGCCGATGGGGCTTGGCCAGGGGAGCTGCGAGGTCATGGGGGCCCGGGGGAGCGCGTCTTGCCGAGGGCCTCACGGCGGCGCATGGGTCTGGATAGCTGAGATCGCCAGGCCTAGCAAGCCCAAGGCAATCTGGCATCGGGGGAGGGCACAAACGGCGAAGCCGCCCTTATTTAAAACATGTTCGAGATCTGAACGTGGAAGTGCCGACGCGACCGATGACGCAGTGCACGGCGCGCCGGCAATTGGCAAACCACCATGGTATTCCGTGGACCCGGTCAAGTCTCTCGCTTCGGGGGGGCATGGCTGGTCGACCCCCTTGGTGCTAGGGGGAGCTGGGGGATCCGTACGATCGAAATGGGTACGGAAACAATGGGCACGAGGACCGACTGAAATTCTTCATCATGTCGAACAGGACTCGCCGTAAGTGTCGCCGCGGGCGTTGCCCATTTGAGACAGAAGGCCGCCTGCCCAGCAGCTGCCGATTTCGGCTTTGGACCACAATTGCTCTTGGGCATCGGGCGTCCAAAAGGGAGAACCTCCGGCGCTCCAATGTTTCCGATGCGTGGACCCCCAGAGGTTTGGACTCTTTCCCCCGGGCCGGCCGGCTTTCTCGTCCCGAGCCGTTTTCTGACGGCCCCAGTGCCGTGGAAGGCCCCCGGAGGCCAAAAACTATCAAAAGTCGGCCGCTCCAATTGTCGCGGATCCCCGGGAAGGGGGGGAGGAGGAGGAGGATGGAGGAGGAGGAGGGCGGAGGAGGAGGAGGAGGAGGAGGAACGGAGGAGGAGGAGGAGGCAGGAAAAGGAGGAAGAGGAGGAAAAAGAGGAGGAGGAGGGCGGAGGAGGAGGAGGAGGAGGAGGAGGAGGAGGAGGAGGAAAAGGGAGGAAGAGTAGGAGAAAAAGGAGGAGGGGAGGAAAAGGAGGAGGAGTAGGAGGAGGAGGAAAGAGGAGGAGGAGGAGGAGGAAAAGGAGGAGTAAGAGGAGGAAAAGGAGGAGGAGGAGGGCGGAGGAGGAGGAGGAGGAGGAGGAGGAGGAGGAGGAAAAGGAGGAAGAGTAGGAGAAAAAGGAGGAGGAGGAGGAAAAGGGGGGGGCGGGCGCCCGGTGAGCCCGCAAGGTGTCCGGGGAGGCGCCTCAGAGGGCGCTCGCCGCCGCCCCGCCAGCCGCGGCCCGGGGCAGCGCAGCCGGCACCGACGAGCTCAGTGCCAAGTACGAGGCCCGGCTTGCTGAGAGCCAGTGGTCCGGGGCCCACACCCAGACATGATCGCGTCGTAAAAAAAAAGGACGGGAGGTTTTTGCATATTTTCGGCCCCTGGGGGCCCTCGCCGGGCCTCGGGACCGTCAAAAAACGACTCAGGACGAAAAACCGGCCCCGGGGAAAGGGCTGGGACTTCCGGGGACGCCGTCCTGAAAAAATCAGGACGTCGCATGTCTGAGCAGACATCGGGCGACTCGAATCAATCGAGGCGTTGGTTTCTCATCGTTTTCGGCCTCCGCGCGGCCATCACCGGGCCTCAGGACCGGCAAGAGACTGCTCGGGATGTAGGACCGGTCCCGTGGAAGTGGTCGAGAGGTCGGGGGGGCCGTGCCTCGAAGAAGCGGAGACGCCGGATGTCTGGATTGGGAGTGAGACGCATCCACCGACGCGTGGTCGGCGGACTCGCCGAGGGAGGACATGAGAGGTGACGGGCCTTTTCAGGAGGCGGCGAGGCGTCTCAGAAGCCCCCCGCGGCCTTCTGAGAGGCCCCATGTGGTTTCGGAGAAGACTGAAAAAGATTATCACAAGAGGCTTCCCCGCCCCATCTGCCTTCCTTCCTGGGCGCGCAGACGATCTGGGGAACCAGAGGAGGCGGTGGATACGGATGTGTTCGTGTCCCTTGGGGCCCAAAGACACCCATATCCTTCGCCACCTACGGCACATCGACAAAATGTTGCACCACCTGGCGCGGACAATAAATCGCATCGCTGTTCTGTAAGAGTTTGTTTTCCACCCCCTCCCCCGATCTCTATTGGGTTCAGTCTGGGCTGGTCGAAACAGCTCGGTGGTGCAACATTTTGTCGGGCGCGCCCGGGCGACCCCAGGGCACTTCGCCATGCACCCAATATTGATAAAGTCGGGGGGGAGGGGGGGGAAAGAGCAACTAGGTGCCAATGCGCAGCAAGAGTGGTGCAACATTTTGTCGATGTGCGGTGGGATCTTGGGAGGTCGGTCCCCCAGGCGCTGGATGCGTATAAGCTCCAGCCCAGCAGTGTTGGCGCCCAAGGTGACATAGGGGATGCAGGATGGGAGGGCCCGCGCTCTCAGCATGTGTGGCCGCTGCGGCCGTTCATCTTCGTGGGCTGCGGGGCACTGGGCGGTGGGAGGATCCAGTCGCCTGGCGGCTCGACCTTTTCACAGCACGGGCCCCAGGATATCTCCACCTTTTTCGAAGGGCCGTTTTTTCAGCCAGAACCATTTGTTACATTGTCTTTAGGCCCGATGTCGGTTTCTGGAGGCCCTGAACGGCGAGAAAACAGCCGCTTCTCTTTTGTTTGGGCCGCAGAACGTTTGGGGTGGAGGAGAGGGACAAGAAAAACAAAGTCGTTTCCAGAATTCTTCAGAGGCCCCGAGAGACTTCTGGAGGCCACTGGAGACCCAAAGCCGTCCAATTCAAGCCTCGATCTTCGAAGATCCAATATATTTAGGAAGGGGAAGAGCCGGACGAGGTCCACGTCTCCAGACGCGCTCCGTGGCTGCCCTGAACGGGCCATGCTGGTGGACGCCGTGGCGAACCACGTGGCGGCGGCCAGCCGAGAAGCACTACAGGCCGCACTCGCATCAACACGGTGAGATCACACGTGCGAGCCATGGCGACAATGCGGAGGTGGCTCTTGCGAGCGCGCGGTGTCCCGTGGCCCAAGGCGATCGTGCAGTTCATCGACAGCATGCACGCCAGGGCTGCGGAGACGCGCGGGCAGACGCTGCTTCGCCAGACCCTACGCGCCTTGGCATGCACGGAGCTCGTGGCGGGCGTGGACTTGAGCGACAGACTCTCTCTCTCCACCCGGGCTGAGGCCCAGCAGGGCGAGCGTGGAGATGCTCTTCAGTACTGGCACAGGCCCGACGACGAGGGCGGCACAGCGACCCAGCGCGTTCACTGGGGCTTTGGAGCGGCTGGTCGTGGACGGGGGCCTGGCGAAGTACCTACGCGGGGTGGAGCGGCTCCGTGGGCGGTGCTGCGCTACGACGGCCACGGCTGGCTCCCGCCACCACGAATCGCCTTCGTGGACAGGTGGTTGACGGCCACGCCGTGAAACGCGAAAGCTAGCGGAGCGGTGCGTAAGGTGCCAGGGCTGCCGCTAGTAATCCTCCGAGAATGTTACATGCCAGACCCGGCACGGATACAGACGGATTTAGACCTTTGGCAGGGGAGCATGGACTTCGACGGAGACTGCTTCTTACCGCGGTGCGATGAAGAGGGCGGAAGGTGGTCCGCAAGCCCGCCAAGCACGCAGAAGCGGCGGCAGCGAGCCAGGAGTTGTTCCGGGAAGATGCCGAAGCCAGCGGCCTGCACGGGCGAGGACGTCGAGCTCCTCATCCCCGGGGAGGTCGCGAGCTTCTGGACGGAGCGTTCGGTCGGAAAGGGCGACAATCCTTTCGGCCACGGCGGCGACGGTGACCCCGGAGAACGAGCAAGACGGTCACAGGAAGGCGCAGACACCCACGCGATAACGCACCGCGCCGTCGTCTCCAAAACCCCCGCAGCAGTTCGCAGAGGTGTTGCGGTCCTGGAAGGCCCACGTGGAATTAGACGGGGCAGCTGCCTTCCCAGACCCCGCGAACTGGCCGGCGCCGAGGAAGAGCTTCTCGGCGCAGGAGGCGGCGGACATGGCAGCCGAGACCCACGCGCCCCTCAAGGCTTGCGCAGGCCGGACGGCCGCGGAACCCGAGGGCGGCGAGGGGGCGACACCTCCAGAGGCCGCCGTCGAAGACGGAGAAGAGGAGGACGCCGCGCCACCGACGGCGAGCACGGGACAGAGGACGGCCTGGACAGCGTTGACGGCGGCAGCGGGATGAACGCCCAATTCGGGGTCGGAGGGCGGCAGCCCGCCCCCCCCCAGAGCAAGGGCGCCGAGGAGAAGGTCGGCAGTTACCGCGAGGCGGCCAGGCTCCACCAATTTGGGGGCCGTGGCTGGGCACCCGGCAGGTCGCCGCTTAACGAGGCCCACTTCGGCGACTCGCCAAGCCCGAAGGCGCGCGGCACAGCTGCCAGAGGCGCCGACGCCACATCTCGGCCGGGACGACGGCGGCAGCCTCCAAGAGCGAGGACGAGGAGAGTTCCTCAAGCCCCTCGACCTCCGAGGAGTCCGACGACACCGCCCAGTGGAGGGCAGTCAGCCGAGGAGGGCGCCAGCGGCGACGAGCTCAACGCGACCCTTCGGAAGGGGAACACGCCAGCCCGGCGACGAGGGAGCCGAGCCGGAGAAGGCGCCAGCAGCAGCGGGCCCCGCGCGACCAGACAGGGAGCGACTCTCGCGCGCCGACGGGGCGCGGCCGCCGCTCGGCCCGAGGCGCGCCCAGCGAAGGCAACTGACCACGCGGGCTCGGCAGAGGGGCGCCCCGCTCAGGTGAAGACTTTGCGCGCCAACAGAATAGCCCCGAAACGCCGTCTGCAGGCGGGCGCCCGCCCACGTCGAAGGCGCCCGCCCCGCCCCGGGGCCCCTCCGTTCGCCGCGGGCGGGGGGGCCCTGGCCGGGAAGAGCGCCGTCGCGCCGGGCTGGGCCCCGCGGCGGGCGGGCGGGGCCCCGGGGCCGCGCCGCGCGTCGCCATCGCTCTGCCGAGCTGGGGGGGCTCGTCGCACGATCCGCAACCGCTTGGCCCAAGCGACCCCGCTCGGTCAGCACTGGGGCCCGCCGAGCCCCCAGATGTCCGCCCCCAGCGTCGCCCGCGCGACCCGGCGCGAGGGGCGGCTCGACCGCGCGCGGGAGGATGGGGGGGAAGGGGGGAGGCGCTCGCATTGCCGCACTCGGACCGGCGCTTCCTCCTCGCGAAGGAGGGCGCCGCTCAATGCGCAGGCGCAGTTGTACTTCCACGGCGCGACGAGCCGGGGCAAGTTCTCCGCTCCGACGAACTCAGGCCGCGACTTCCGGCAGATCGCCAGGGACACGCTCGATCTGGATGCGACAGTTGGGGCGGAGCCGCTCGCGACGGCCGCGGCACCGACGCGCGCGCAGCAGGCGGCGCGCGCGAAGGTCGAGCAACAAAAGATGGAGGGCGATGCCGACGCTCGCCAGGCGGTCAAGCCACTGAGAGCAACCGATCATTAGGTTTCGCGGGTGACCTTCGAGAAAGCGCTCTGGAAGCTCGAGGGGGGCCAGACGCCCGCGAGAACTCATCTCTCAGCAACGCAGACGGACCTCGAGCGGGGCGGCATTCGGGCGGAGAAGCTCACGGCGGTCTGCCGACCCCGACCCCTGACGCCAGTTTGGCCCAGCTCGGGGGCGACGCAGTTCAGCGCGACAGCGACCGCCAAGGTCGGACCCCTCACAGGGCCCAAATGCGCTACGGAAGCGCATCATGCTGTAGGCACGGGCACCCTCATGCTCGGTCAGCACTATGCGAGCCGGCAGGAGTTGATCGGCGGAAACCCTCGCACCTCGACAACATGCTCGGGGAGCACGTCTGGAAGCTCGCGGCAAGGACAGCGCAGGGCGGCGCGGCCGCGCACTCGCCGTGGACCCAGACGCAGCAGCATGAGCAACAGGCCCGCAGGAAGGCTCGGCAGCTAGTGGAGCAGGAAAGCATGCAGTTCCACGCGGCGCTCCAGCGGGCGATGGGCGACTCGGCTGCGCAGGAGCGCCATTTGACGACGCCGCCGGCGCCCCGCCAGCCCGGCAGCCCACCGCCAGCCTCAGCGCGCGCCGCGGCAGCTGCGGCAGCGGGGGCTCAGCCCACCATAGCAGACGCGCAGGGGCGGAGGCAAGACCCGGGGGGCGGGTCGCAGGGCACAGCTAAAACTTGAAGGTGGCCCACCTCGGCGAGGCGCCAGCGACGAGCGGACGTCGCTGCCCTCGCGCGCCGCCTCGGCGCACCCGCAAATTTGGAAGTGGTGGACAGGTCAGGTCAGAGACGACGCCGACCACTCCGGCGAGCGCTGCAGGACGACTAACTCAGGAGGGTGGCGGCTGGCAGGTGGGACGCCCTCGTGGTCTCGCCTCCCCGCAGTGTCGCAGACA